CATTGACGTGATTAACAAAAATATGGTAATTGTTTTGTTCTAATTATCTGGATAATTGCAATTTCCCATGTTACAACTCCAAGTCCAGAAAGAAAAGGTGTCAATTTTGGAGACATAGGTGCAGATATGTTGCCACTGATGGATAACTAGTGTATATCAAAGTAATGAAGTAAACAAATTATAGTAAGAACTTACTATACCCTTTAGATATTAAAATGCCTGATTTGAATGTTTCTTTTTGATTACTTTTTCCAAAAGTTTGGAAGGCATAGATGCTATGATGTTTGACTTGAATTTTATGTAATCACTTCAAAATCACAAGCGTAAGCAGTTATATTGTGGTTCTGTGAAAGGTTTTAAGCAATAATGAACTCTAGGCCAATCGTGATTTTTAAGAATGATCCTTATGGGTGCATTCCCTGCTGCCAAAACTTCAGAAATGTTGCATGCACTGAAAGCCCAAAAGTGCTTCTGGTTACCATCAGACCTTTGGAATTTCAACAGAAACCAGGCACAGTCTATGTAAAGACTTTTTAAGATTTTATGAGCCTGTTTAACGTCCTACAATTTGTTTTTTCAGAAGGTGTGTTTATTATTTCCTATCTGATTTCCCTCAGAATGTAGCAATAAATTCTGAAAATGAGAATAGCCCATGATATTTATTCCCGGGTCTTTCCTCTGAGTCCCAGATGCACAAACACAGCTGCCCACGTAACACGTCTGCCTAGGTGAGTCAGGGGGACCCTGGTGCCCTCATACCAAAATGGGTCTCTTGATTCCTTATCCTCCTCCCCTCCCCTGGGCTTTCCCAAATGAGAAAGGGCACTGATATCCACACACTTGCCAAGCCAGAAAGTTTGTTTAAACATTTTTCTTCAAGGACTGTATAGCCTACAGAGCAAAAAGAGCATAACATGCATGAAGCAGACAGCTCAACCAACTTCTATTTATCAATACACCATGTAACCACCACCTGGATCGTTTTCAAGGTGCCAGAAGGTTCCCTTGTGACTTCTGGGAGTTATTAATTCCTCCTTTTCCTGTCTTCTATAATATATCTTGAGCCTTTTAGCTTTTCTCCACTGCCTTTGCTTTCACCATGATCATCTTTCACCTGGACTACCCCAATAACTGTCTCTCCACTTCCACCAACTCGTTATCTCGACAGAGTGATCTTTTAAAAACGATAGCTCTGATCACCACACACTCCCTTTCTTCATTAACTTCCCTTTACACTTAGAATGAGATGGAAACTCATTATTGAGGCTTACAATGAATGCCCTTAAAAAGTGGCCCCTGACAACCCTCCAATCTAACCTTTCTCTGCTTTCCACCCCACTGTGTTCCAGGTATCCCAGTTTCTTTACTTGCTGGTTGGTTGGTTTTGGTTGTTGTTGCTGTTTCTTTTAGTTTCTGTGAAATGCCTTTACAGCCTTTTGCACATGCTGTTCCTTTGATGCAAATGCTTTTCCTCTTCTTTTCCCCCACTCCCACCCCCCACTTCCATCCCACACTCATGCCCATGCCTAGACGTTCTTTCCACATGGCTAGTTCCTTCTCATCCTTCTTCCTCAGCTTAAACATCATCTCTCCATAGAAAGTTTTCCTGCCCCAAACCTAGAGGGCAGCTTCCAATTACTCTCAGAAAGTCACGCCCTTTCCTTTATAGCACTGAGAACAGTTTGCAAGTTATATAGTTTTAGAGTTGCTTTTAGTCGTGTGTCATCTAACTTCTTCTAACTGAGGTTTTTAGGGAAGAACCAAAGATGCCATTTCAATCCTGTGTCCTTAACAGCTAGCACTGCATCTAGTATACGGTGCATTCCTAAGTAAATAGTTGCTGAATGAATGAATAAGTGAATGAGTATGTACTTGTCTAGGAGAACAGTGCAAAAAGAGAAAACTGAGAGGATACAGAGGGTGATGTATATTTGACCTCAGAAAGATTTTTTTTTTTTCTTAATTGAATGCATTTCAGAAATGGGTCTTGAAGGAAATGCCTGTTTTCTGAGCCCACCATCATTCTGAGACAAGCATGTCTTCCCAGGATATCCCTGGAGCTGGCACAAGTCAATTTCTTTCCTGCTTGATTCATGTGTTCTTCAACACTACAGCCCTTCTCATTCCATTGGGTCTGGGCACCACCTGGGCAAGATGCTCACAGACATCTTACTGGCTTGTTTCTGTAATTCCTATAAAATTGGTAGATTATCTGAATCTGCAACGTTGCATAGGCTGAAAGCAGGGAATAGGGAGGAGTGGGAAGGCTTAAAAGAGAGATGACAGAAAATCTTTTGGGGAAGAATATGAGGCTGGATTCTATGTGAATAGTGATTTTGAACTTTGGATTTTGCTTTGTTTAGTTTACTTTCTCTCCCTTGCTCCATTGCAATTTGCCTCTGATAATGCAAGACTTATTAAAATTTTGTTAAATACCGTAACCTGATGTTTGTTGTATTTTGAAAACTTCAGGTAGGATATTGGCTCAATATTGGATGCCTAGCCATATGAGACAGAATGGCAGCAGCTCAGAGCAGAGTCATGATGTGGAAAGAGGCATCCAACAAAGATGTTCAGCGCAGCAGATCAGAACAAGAGCTGACAAATCACTACAGGATGGATTTGTCCAACATGTCAGCATTCCTTAGGATTTGCAGAAATGCAAGGGGGGAACGCTGACTTCCCATGGCTGTACAGGATGGGGCACATTCCATGTCAGTTGGTATTAAAGACATGAGTGATCCCTGAAGCCTAGAGAATTCTCGGACATTTGGGTTACCCTCCTTGGGTCGCATGGCTTCAAATTCTCTCATTTAGACATTCCTCTCTCAAAGAAGATTGAAACTCAGAAAAATTCACTATGTTGGGGGCTGAAATCTTGTTTTTAAAAAAGTGAAAACACTGGCTAAATTAACTGAGCCATCAGTCCGGTACACTTTAGATCGAGTTAGCTTGATTTTCTCTCCCTAAAACTTCTAATGTAACCCATAAACTGAGGAAATGGGAAATTTAATGGACATGCAGGGAGGTAGTATAGGGAAAAGTCATGCTGGTCCTTGGTGGCCTGTCAGAGTGTATGGGGGTGGCAGAGTTAGGCTTTTAGGAATCAGAAAGTTACAAAAAGGGACTGAATGCTCAGGGTGTGGAATAATGAAAGAGGATTGGAGAATGAGCCATGAGACACTGCCAAAGAGAAATTCTGCTGACTTGTAATTTTACTTCTGCTATATTCAATCATCTTTTAAATGAGTCAGCAGTGTAATTGAATGCAGTTGTTAAAATAGCCAAATAAAATAATCAGCTCTGCCACATTTGAATATTTGAGAGGGGTGGGAGAGAAAAAGAGAACACATATAATATGTGGCCTTATTCTCCACACCACTGGTAGAGACTGCTCAAAAAATTTCACTTGAGTTTTGAATAATAAGCATGGAGTTGTTTTGCTGGCTTTGTTGGATAATTGGCTCAAATCATCTGTTTATTTCATGGAATAGTATGCCTTGATCTAAGAGGAAATGTTTAAAATATTTATTTCCAAGTAGAGATGACTGCATGTTGTTCCTGGTTGAAACATGAGCATGATGAGAACAGGCCCTAACTCTATCTGTGGGGTTCAGAACTGGAGCTGATGCTCACCAGGGGGTTACCTTGTGCCAGTCCTTATAATAATAACAACTCTGCCTGCCTATTTCATGTCATGCATAAAACAATCCTTTGAGGTAGGTACCCTAATTTCCCCTATTCCACAAATGAGGAAAGGTACACTTTAAGGGACTGAGAAATTCCCTAAACTACCCAAGTCCCCATAACTAGGGAGGAGTTGGACCAGAAATTGGGCAGGTCTGTTTAAATCCAGAGCCCATGATCTGCCCATTATACAATACTGCTGCTTTCAAATGGTAGCAGCAGCCGTCACCGCTATACTTACTATGGACACATAGTCAATTATTGGGAGAATGAGAGGGCCTTCAGTGTTGGAAATATAAATCGAGAGGCTTATAGCTCATTCACCGTCACACATGGTCAACCCCAATTGTGGTATCTCATTATAGTGGAGGCCTGGAAAGGTGGCCTAAGCCAGGAGCCAGCTCCTGGGTACTGGCCCTGACTCCTGCTGTGAGTCCTTAGAAATCACTGAGGTTCCCTAGACCTAAGTCTGTGATACGAAGAGGCTACATGACCTTACAAATAATAGAACTCTAACATTCTAAGAGTCTATAGCAATCTCCACTTCTCACCCCCCCACCCAGCAAATGGAATTAATTTGCAACATGTTCTGAGGCATGCTCTGATGTTGCCTGCCCAATGATGTATCCCAAAACCAATGTAAAGAAAAGTGTACCAGCAGGCCAGTTAGCAGCAGAGAACTGGCAGAAAGGTGGGCAAGAAAACACTTTTTCTAAATTGCTCCAGCTTGTTTTCCCCCTATGTCTTTTCTGTCACAGATGTCTCAAGGCACAAGCCTCCAGGATTTCTAGAGGGATTTTGCACCCTGCCTAGTTATAGCTCTTGCAATGACCTGTCTTCTGTAATTAGCAATTCCCACAAGTAGGGAAGTTAGCCAAGAAGCTGGAAGAGTGATTTACATGTATAGGTATTTATTTGTTATGAATACTTTTATAAATTCTGAGATTTGGGTCTGATTTTCTTCTAGATTGGGTTGCCAGATAAAATACAGAATGTGAAGTTAAATTTGAATTTCAGATAAACTAGGGAATATGTGGGGACATACTTACACTAAAAAATTATTCGTTATCTGAAATTCAAATTTAACTAGGTGTCCTGTATTTTTATTTGCTAAATATGGCAACCCTACTCATAAAAAGAAGTACTTATTTTTTTTGTTAGCTTTTTGGGTGGGATTTAGGTCATAGGTGTCATAAATTGAAACTCTGACAATTTAGACATGTGTTTATTACTTTTCCCATTTCAATACTAGAATGTTAAATATCTATTGTCCTCTCAATGTGTTTTCAGTGAGTATGTTTGTGTTTAAAGTTCTGAGGTTGTAAGTTTCTCCTTTTTTTAGGAAAACACACACATCCCCCAAATTCATTCATAAAATCAAAGAGATCCTAACCATTGATATGAGGACTTCTAAAGAATGTAGCATATTTTGGCCCACATCTGGGACTGTGTTCTTTGAACTAATAGGGAAATATTGCATGCTGGCAGGTTTTAATCGAGAAATATGTTTTCTCTTAAGGGCGATTTGTCTAATTGGCTGTAGAAATGTTTTTTTCTCTGCTTCAGAAAGCTTTTTCCCATTTTCTAACCATACAACTTCCCCCCACCCCACTTCCTCCATGGCCAAGGCTAATGCTACAGAGTTCAGTAACTCTGTTCGGAATGCTCTCATTAAGCTGGACAAGGTTTCAGACTTGAACTCAACTTCAGACAAAGCACTTCACTTTTCTGCAACTACCTCCTCTAGAAAATGCATTGGAAGAGATGATCTCTGAGGTTTCCCAGTCTACCATTTCTGATCCAAAGCAAGGATGGGTTTGGGGATGGGAAGAGGGTAAATCTAGAAAGTACAAAATAGGGTTTTAGTTATGGCTTCATTTCAAGTCTCCCGCTTCCTAGGTCCTTTGTCTTTGGTGAGACTAGTTTGCCCAAAGAATCTGTGTGTGTGTTTCTTCATTCAATGGTGGACACCTTCTGGATTCCAAAGAATTTAATATTTTGCTATAAAAACATAAAATGTAGCTATCACATTAGACAGTCCAAAAAATTTGTCTATATGGTTCTAAATATCTAGGTTTTGAATGCATCTTAATGTTCAAAGAAAATTTTCAGGTTGATGTTTGATAAAGAAAAGGTGAAATCCATGAGGTCACACATATGAACAGAGAAGCTAGTTCAGGTAATTGCATTAAATTTGGAGAGCCAGACAATTGGTTAGGTCAGGAAGCCAAATGAGTCATACTGACTCATATATTCATATCATTGCAAAGACAATGCATATGGAAAGACTGTGTGATCCGTTCTCAGACTGGGATCATTTCTAGTTTCAAAACCTTCATTACCCTTAATACCCTAGACAGGACACTGATGTCATTGACAGGATGCTGCAGAAAAACAGGTGAAAATAAACATTGATGTCCTTCCTCCACTCAGCAGTCGAACACCAAAGAAAAAAGAAGGTATGAATCTCATTACTTCCTTTCAAAGGGTGAAATCAAGGTTATTCAATAAAATTTCCAAAAAATCAATTTGGGGAAAAAAATGGTTTGAATTCCAAATCAAAAAACCAAGGTTGATGTTACTACAAAATGGTTAAGGGCATATGATACCTCCTAGAAATATAAGTGCCACATTGCTACATATCCAGTAAAAATTTATAGCTCGTATTTCATCTGAAAACTGAGATGTATTCATTTATTTATTTCCATGCTAAAAAGTGCATTGCTGAATATATCACTGTTCTTCCAGAAAAGCAACATGATATTTAAAATGTAAACTTTTATCACAGTAACAGTTCTTCTATCTGATGAAGTCTCAAATATTTCTTTTTTAAAAAGTGTGTAGAGTATATTTGATTGGCCCTCTCCTGAGCAAGAGATGAGAAACAAAATTCATGAGGAGGGACATTTCTTGGTGGAGGAGGGCATTCAATGGACAGGCTTACTGTTTGGGAGGAGAAATAGCTCTGAGAGACTAAAAGAGTCATCTCTTCTGGGCCCTGCCAGGTCTTTGAAGTCCCTTCTGAGTGAGATTTGCCTAATTTTTTGTGACCTCTCTCTTCCCTTTTCTTCATTGAAAACAACAGGCTAGTGGTTTAAAAGGCATAAAACTTGCCACACGAGGAGGAAAAAGCCCTCTGGTCCACTCCAACTATCACTTACCAATGGCTAGGTGAGTAATTTGTTGTTGTAATTATTTCAATTTTAGTTTTAGTATCTCTTCGTCATTTCCTTTAAAGAGTCAAGCTAAAAACAAAAAACAAGAAATGGCTGATCTCAAATAAGTATATTCCTATGAACTTTCTCTGTTTCATTAGTATTCTAAAGATTACCTAACATACTTTTTAAAAATTCAGTAAAAAATAACATTCTGGTATCTGATTTATGCTAAATTTCTGACTTTCTTTTAAAGGTGATCCTCTATCATATTCCACACATTTGTTATCTAACCAAACTAAGGAAAAAGAAAAGAAAAAAATAGCATTGCATTTTGCCTCCAGAATTTCTTTGGGTACTTATTGTAGAGTTCAGTACTTCATGAGGAAGCAATGTTGTCTTACCATTGTCATCAGTTGGCTTTGTTTGATGGATGAAATTAGAAACACTCAAGATGAACAGAGCTTTTCCAAGGGTGAAATCATTCATAAATTCTTAGAGAAACAATGACCATTTCAAAGGATTTTTATTTGAATGTTTAAAGTTTGGCATGGTATTGAACTTTTAATTTATAGAACTGCGTATTCCTTGTCAGCTAAACCAGCCATGACTATATACTTATAAAACCCTAAAACATTCAGTATGAATGCAATAGGAAGAAAACTACAGCATTAAACTTTGTCCTTATTATATTTTTATTTAACATTCCTGGGTACTGGTAGTGTTTGGTGCTAGAATTCAGAAGTTATGCCTAAGGAGAATAGTGTAATAATTGGCTAAATAAGAGACTATTGAAATGAAACAAGTATTTAAATGGTAATATTAATATTTCAAAACAAAATGATAGCCAAACCAGCAAGAGATTTACAGGTACAAATGTATTTCTGTTTTATACATATCTTTATTCTTCTGAAAGATAAGGATAATCTCTAAAAGAGTTTCTAGGGAAGTAACTACATTAGTCCCATACCAGCAAGGTAAAATGGAAAACTAAAAGAGTTATTGACATGAATAGACCAACCCTATGTAATGACTCCAAAAACAAAAACAAAAGCAAAAATAAGCACACAAACACAAATACCAAAAATTTAGACTTCAACCATCAAACATTCCAGATGAGAGACATTTTAAAGGGCTTAGTACTTGTCTTTAATAGAAAAATAAATGGCCTTTGAAATAAAAATTAGATATTTCATTTCTTAGAAGAGCATTCTTATGAAGACCAGAAGAAAAAGCTAGTGGCTAAATTCAACAAACACATATTTCATGTCACTTCTAGGTCACATTCAAATATATTTTCATTTGCTTTCCTATGTGAAGTTCAAGTGAGTAAATATGGAGTTGGCATGAAGCTCTGATAAGAAACTAGGTTTCCAACTTTATATTACTTCATTCACTTTTTTCTCCTAGAAATTGCTGAAAAATTCACTCCTGTAATTTACATTGCAAATCTTTTAACAGAACATAGACTGCTCTCCCTGTGTGGCTCCATTTTCTCTTTCCTACACAACCAAACCTGGCTTCCCTAACTTTCTCACATTATTCAGAACAAAAAAGAGGCAGGACTAAACATGAAAAGAAATGATCATTTCTGTCTCTTACAACATTGACCTGAATGACTTTTCTGAATAAATAATGAGTCAATTGGAAATCCAGTTTGGTTGGTCGTGGTTCCCACCTTAGGGACATCTTCTGAACCACATACTACCTGTACATTATGCCCCAACTGGTCTCTGCGCACTCTGATAATTCCAGGAATGCATATAATGAAGACAGCCTTTCTCTCTCAGCTCATCTTGTTAATTTCCAGACTTTAGAAGTATTCCACACCAACATTAGTCAGTCCTAGCTTTGTATGCAGTTTGATCTCATTCTGGTTTCAAGCTGTGCGCAGCATGTTAAACATTCCAGAGGCTTCCAGCTCCTGTTTCTCTGGAACCCCGGGGAAAACACAATGTCTCAAGTCTTTTCTCATGTACCCCAGCTTTGAACAGCCCCCCCAAAATCAGAGAAATTCTAAATAAGATTATGCCCCTTTTGGAACTAAAATTGGCTTGTTCCTACAAATTCCCTTTTTTTCCTGTCTCTAGACATTAGCATCCTCTGCGTTTATTATGCGCCAATGCTGTGCACCTTCCAATTTACCTACAACCCATTAAAAGCCAAACATTTGGAAGCAAATCCAATGTAAATATTGGAAGGATTCCTGATTCTAATAGAGATATATTGACTTAGTCTTCACAAACTCAAAGCATACATTTTGGTATTTTTCTTTTCTGTTTCAATGAGCATTCTGTCTAAACTGTCCATGCACATTCAATCCAAAAAAAAAAAAAAAGGTTTGTGTTCAAGCAGAAAAAGCCAAAATAAAAGTAGAAGGGGTCCTTGAAGAGAGGCCTTAAGAGCTTATAGCTTCCCAAATTCCCTGGTTTCCAAATTCCCTGGCTTTAGAGCTCTGACACTGAAAAGTAAAATTTATTATTTTTTATTACGAAAATAATAGATGACTGTGAAGAGAATTTTGAAAACACAGGGGAAAAAACCAACAAAAAAAAATTTGTGGACAATCTCACCAGTGGAGAAAATAGCTGTTGACATATTCCTATATTTTCCACATATGATACAGTAATTTAGAAAGTAGGATCACTCTAGATATACAATTTACGTCCAGTTTAGTTTTTCTTCTTAGTGTTTTATAATGAAAATTACCTTTACATATTCTGCAAACACATGTATACCATGGTGTATGTATACTGCCATTCATTTAGTCATGCTAAAAACTTTAAAAATCTTCTCTCTAGGAAAATAATTTCTTACATACCTATAGTACTCTAAAGGCCTTTTAGACACTTTACCCAACTTAGAACCCCGACAGATCAGGGAAGATATTATTGTCATCTCCACTTCACAGAGTGAAGCTGATGAGGAGCTGAGTCCTGGAAGGTTGGTGTTCGGAGCCCAACATGGGAAGACTCCGGGCTGGAGCCCCTGGGGGTCTCCCACTCCATTGACGGACAGTCAAAGGGAGGCTGGTGACAACCAAGCCTAAATGTCACAAGCTGAACCGAGGGCCATGCCCTACTCTCCGTCTCATGCTCCCTGCTTCTGTGAATGGCACCTCTTAGGATCCAAAGCTGGGTGTCATCTTTAAGACATCCCTCTCCCTCATCTCAATATTGAATATTAAACTGCCAGAAAAAGTAGATTTTCATCGCGCACAGAAAAATTCTAAACTCCGTGGCCTGAAGTCAAGACTGTTTGAGGTCCGGATGCTGCCATCCCTCCCATATCCACCCACTGTACACCCCATGCAAGTTTTTCCCCAAGTACAGACTGCGGCCCCTTCACCACAGATTCACTTGTGACGATGGTTCAAAGATAGATTCTGGAGCCTCACTCATACCTGCTGAAATATCATTTTGGGAGGTGGACCCAGGACTCTACGACTTTAAATAGTTTAGGATTCTTAAGTGTAAGAACCCAGCTACGTTCCAGGCCAACTGACTGCCCTCTTTCTTAGTATACCCCCCTAGTCCCTGCTTTCCCTGCTTCCCTGTGCTTTTCTCAGATGGGCCTTTCAATACAGAAAGTTTCTCCCTTCACTTTCTATGTGTTCAAATCCTGCGTACTCTTCCAGGCCCGGGTGAAACACCACCTTCATGAGTACCACTTACCCTGGTGCTGCCGTCTCAAACTGACCCTTCCTTTCTCAGAGCTCCAATGCACTTACTGCTATTGAAACAACAAATGTTGCTCACTCTCCTACTGTATTTAAGAAGCTGCATTTGTTGAGTAACTCTGTCACATATCCTTTAAATTAGTTATGAAACTTAACCTTTTTTTATCTGGAGGAACTATAGAACCTCTATTTGTTTTCAAGGGTCTTAATTTGCATATATTTAGTCAATGTCTTTGGGTACACAGACACTAATTTGAAGCTGTTGTCAACTCTACTAGACCCCTGAGTCAAGATTCTTTGTGATGAAGGAATGGCTTGTAGACCACTCCTTCTCAGAGACTGCTCATGGATGTTTTAAGAAAATCTGGGCCAGCTATCACAGGCAGCAGGGGAACTGAAATATAAAATAGGACTGTATGACTTGGAGCAGAGCGCACAGGTTCAAATTTATATAGAGACCAGGCAGGTAATGTAAATGAACGTGAACGAAGGCAGCTCAGCTTAAGGTGCTAAATAGCTCCACACACAGGCTTTAGTATCAAACTTACACTGGGCCACGGTGGTCTGAAGAATGCATGCTTGTGCAGAGTCAATAGATGCCAGCTAATTGTCACCAGGCAGGAATGCAGGCTTTGTGTGGCCAAACACTCAATATTTTCACGAGAAACCATACAATAATTTTTATGAGACAACCCCTGGTTTTTTCATATTGACAAAAACACTGGGTAGGAAGTGCAGGCCAGACACAGATAATTTATTTCAAGGCACCTCAAGGCCATAAACCAAGATCCCAGGCTTCCTCTCTTCCCGAATCACGAATCACCCAGAGTCAGCACCCTCTGTGTAGAGCTTCTTAGGACGGTGACTGTGTTTAGTAGCTTTGATGACAAAATGACAGTAAAACAGCTAGAGCATTCTTAGCATCTGATTTCATGATTTGATTGGCACACTTATAAACATTGTTTATCTGTATAAATGATACCCATTTACTAGTGTGTTGGTGACATTGTGGAAGGAAGTGCTTTGTGAGCCTTTTAAGCCCCAGGAATCACAAAGAAGGGAGAGGGAGGGATTGGTTTCAGTTTGTTTGGTGTCTGTAATTGGAGGTCATTAGAGGAGCTCCTGTGCTCCTAAGGGTCATCCCCTCTGTGTTTCTGTGGCCGCATATGGAGGCAGCTGTAATTTGCACAAGGTCAGTCCCCTGAGCGACACTGGTAACGAGCAATGTGTGTATCGAGTGCAGTTAAGTCTGTGTGTGGTGCCATTCCTGGGGGACCCCTCCCTACCGCAGCACCTGACCTTCTCTGGATGCAGTTCTCCTACGTTCAGGGGTCCCTTTGGGGACACTAAGCACTGCCCCACACCTTGTCCTTCAGATTAGCAGGGGTCCAGGGCAGTGCAGGGCAGTTCAGGAAGGCTGGAGGGCTTGCAGGATCCAGGGCAGTGGGATTTGGAGCCCTAGCTAAGCGCGTGTCTCATCCAGATATTAGCAGAACAATTGAGTTTCTATTTTTTTCATGGTTGCTTTGATGATTATTTTTAATAAAATGACAAAAATAAAAAAGTATTTGTAATAAGCATTTTAATAAGAATAACAATTTTAATAAGATATAATCTCATAAAGTAAAAATGAAATAAAATTTTCTAAAAGTTTTATTTTTGATCAAATCAGAAGTGTTTCACATGTCTCAATTGTGCTCTCTGCAGAGCATCTATTTGAGTAGCAGCGTGGGACAGTTTATTAAGAGACATCACAGGACAAGGAACTTCCTTCCCTTTGGCTGAAGTGACCTCAGTCTTCTCCTCTCACCTTTGGGGAAGAAGATTAGCCCATTTTGCTTGTTTCCTTTGTCTCATCTGTGGACCCGCCACCTTCTTCATACAGGGCAGAAAATAAGAAACTCATATTCTTCCGGAGTCTGGACACTTCCGGCGCTAGGGCTCAGAGCCCACGTGTCACCGTGGGTGACAGACACGGTTTAAAACTCTGTCTTCCTAATTGTTAACAAATGTCTCCTCTCCCGAGAGGGAGAGTGAGAAACATGAGAAAGTGTGAGAACCAGCTCATTGCTGGCCCGGGGACCTCGAGCCTGGGTGCACATCAAAACCAACACCACAGACGTTTCAAGGCCAAGCTTGCTGTTCTGAGACTTTGTCCAAATGCCTGGCTGCTGAGATGAACAGTGACCAAGTAGATTCCAGAAGGTTCACAGGACCTGCATCTATCTGCTGCCGCTGCTTCTCTGTGGCTCATTCAAACCTCTGGTACATAAAAAGGATATAAAAAGATAAACTTTGAACCACCGGAGTAAAAACATTTGTCTTGGGCTTGGGATAACTATTTAGGCCTGCATGTTTTAATTTGTTTCTCCCCAAGATCTGTGTGTGCAAAGAACTCTACCCATTCACAATTTTCCCTCATTCTTTCATCAAATATTCTGAAGCACCTCATATCCCAGGAATGCTGGCGTGTGGCTGTCTTAGTCTGTGGCTACTGCAGTGGCTATTGCATATTAGTTGACTGCTTAAACAGTCAACCTATAAAATATCTGTTCCAACCACACACCTCAACTATCCAGAGCAACAAGGGCAAACACAACAGATTGGGCATTAAGCCTGTGCTGGTGGTTTTCCATAAAGCCTCACAGAAGAATGACAGGGACCACCATAGGGGACTGAAGTGACTGAACAGGGAGCCAGAATTCTAGAAACCCCACACCCACTTGAATCAGAATAGCCCTACTTAGCTCTTCCATAATTGTTGCTATTAGTGTTTTAATATATATCGAACTTTGGTGCAAGATTTCATTTGAAGAAAAAGAAAACTCTAGACGATACCTTAGTATTAACAGAAAAGGTTCTAATTTCAACACGAAGTTATTTTACCACCTCCCAAACTCTGCCCTCTACAAATAACAGACAGCAATGTGGAGACAGCAAAGATACTTGAGATTGTTGATGGTTATTTGGAATTACTTGTGGTTTTGGGGTCATGACCTATATGACTACTACTAACATGCATTATCATCAGTCCCAGTGCAATTCTCCCAACAAGTCTGAGCACCTGCTGTATACTAGACACTCTGCTAGGTGCTGGGAACAGAGGAAAAACACTCATTTGGCATCAAAGCTGTCTATAGGATATTTCTACTTCTATTGCCTTAGTTAGTTTAAATAAAATTTAGCATCTTTCTCACCTTTATTTTTACTAGCCCAACTACACTCATCACACACACACCAAATAGACTTTCCCTAACTGTGTTATTTAGCGACATCCCAATTTTCATCCTCACTTTTGATACTTTGTTTTCTTTCATTGCACAAATCACTTCTCTCAGATCCACTTCAAGCCCTATACTTGATTTAGTACTTCAAACACTTACACTTGGATCACAACAGTTGTCCCTACATGCTTCTTCAGAGCCGGCGGCGGGGGAATGGTGATGATGGCACTAAGGTTGAGGGGGTGGGAGGAGTGTGCAGCCCTCCTAAAAGAGTGCCATCCACCAGCCCAGGGTCAAAAGAAAGGAGCACAGGGTGCCCTGAGAGGTGGGGAAGGAGAGCTGAGATCCCCTATAGGATCTGTGAGATTGGGAGAACCTACCTCCTCCTCCCATAGGCAGGAGGAATTTGATGAGAATTTGGTGTTTGCACTGTTCCTGGCAGGAAGTGGCCCAGAGAAACAACTGTTCTGGCACTTAGACACAAGTCCTCACTTGTACCTCTCTGATACTATCCTTCATCACACCATCCGTCACAGCACTGTTCAAGTGACATTTCCTCTAAGCTCGCCACTTCCTGACTTCTTTCCCCAGTCACTATTCTGCATTTGCCAAATAGCCTCCCCATTCGTTCACTGCTTCAGCCTTTCCTTTGCTCAGCTTTTTGTTATCAGTGTTCTATGCAGGCTTTTTACTAATTGCTTAATTGTTTCCCAAGGCTATCAGACAGCAAACAGGGACCATCTTGCTTTCTTTTTTTTTCCTTTTGTGTTAGATACACAGTAGATATCCAAGAAATAGGAGTTGCTAGCTTAATTTGTCCTCAACCCATTAATTTAGAGGAAATGGTACATAGGGAATCTGACCCTTGCCACTTACTAACTGAAGCCACATGCATATTCAAAAATACTGAAAAGCATTTCTGTAAGTAAGGAAATAGCTATCAGAGAGAGGATCTGCTCAAATACTCTTTGTCATTATGCTTCACTGATTATAGTTTGCTTAGAAATATTCACTAGTCATGTGTGTGTGTGTGTGTGTGTGTGTGTGTCTCATTGCTTCTTACATTACTGTTGAAGAGTTTCTTATGAGAGTATAGTCTCAGAATTATTTATATTCACGTTGAGGGTTAGAACAATACATCCAGCCTTTTTCTTTCATTTATATTTAAATTTTGTATGCAGCAAATTGAGTATGAAAATCCTGTCGCAGGAGAAATAATAGAAACAGCTTTCCATGGCTTTGACTTTCTTCCATGGGGTAGCAGGGACATCACAACAGATGAGCACTATCATGACCTTTCATGTTTCTCTTTAATGGGGTGGCTGGTAGTAGGAGGAATTTCAGGGAATGATATGCCAAGTAACTCCCACTGAGGGCTCTGAACTCTTGAGTTTTATAGTCTTTCAAGTGAGGTGACTCTATTTTGTCAACTACAAAATAATCTTATACTTATTTGTTGCAAAAAAAAAAAAAAGTCCTTATAACAAATGTGACAGGGGACTTAATCTGCACTCTAATACTGAGGGCAGGAAACTTTAATGAGGATTTTGTGGTCCAGTTGTTTCTTCCACTACTTCAAAATGTTTGCGGTCACATAGGGTTAAGATAATGGCCATCAGGCCATTCCATTCTTCACATTTCTGGTCTGAGATAAATGAGAATACGTTTCCCTGCTGTGCAAACATCCTTTTTATTAATACTGGGTCAACAAGAATGTAAGCACATTTGGCTGCAGTGAAAAACTAACAGAAATGGAAATGCAGAACATTAAAACTCAAGAGTCTAAGATCAGGCTTTCAAAGTACAAGTGAGTAAAAAGAAAAAAAAAAAAAGTATTACAGAATAGGCCTCAAAGCTGAAATGAAAATGGATCAGCATATTAAAACTTCAGTGTGATACCAGTAGGTTCCACTGGTATGTCTAGGCAACCAGAACATGTTTTGTTCATGTAGAAAATAGTTATATTGCCTCAGAAATGAAGACTTCTCACACTGTCTCCAAGATACAATATCTAGTTTGAGTTCATACTATTTATCTGATCTCATAACACTCAGTAATTATGCAAAGGTTTGACAATGAGCCCCTCAGTGTCTTGTGATATATATTCTCATATATCATAACTTAGCTCTTAAATTACTGTTTTATTTTATTATAATTTTGGCATGTCTTCCCATTTAGAGGCTAAAGAGCTTGAGGTCAAGAACTGTGCCTTACTCATTTCCATGGTCCTATCCCAATTCCTTGCACATGGTAGATATTGGTGTCACCACATTGCGAATTCCAAGAGCATCATTCAATTTTGTTAACGGCCCTGCAGCTGTGCAGTACCACCCCTGTAGGCACACGCTGGACACTTGTTAATTTTATGCCACCCCTGGAAGTTTGGTACAACGTGAAAACTCTCCTGTCTTTCCAGTGGTCTGGGGAAAAGGAAACTCCCTAAACCTTAGTGAAATACAGTGTTGCTGCCTTTGAATAAATGCTGTTTGGATCTAAAAATATTGAGAAAAGACATACATGTTTCTGCTTCTGGGGGCAAGGTAGTCTCTGCATATGCATTCTTATACTAACTAAATACATCAATGTACAGTTGCCAACCAGACAAAAAGAGCAGAAGCCTAAGAGGGTTGCTCAAATTCTAGGAAGTTCATTCTTTCTGTAAAGAAAAGCATACATAGCCAGCTCTGCTTTACTAGGCTGGCCTCACTGCCCTAAAGATCAACTTGGGCAGAGTGGAAATTAGATTGAATATAGATTCAGTGGAATAAATACTTCATCTAGGCAGAAATGAGAATATATCGGTTTCCAAGTGAGAGAATTCAGCCCATTTTTCATCCAGATGTTCTTTGGAGCTTCAGAAGTTTCATCAGAGGTAAATGTGATGAATTCCTCCCTCGTTCCATAAAAGCATATAGGTGCTATTAAATAATATTAACCATGTTCTCTTTGAACAGATAGGCTCATGCTAAAACTGCAAATGCCCACCTGTAACCATGGATTTCTGTGATAAAATCATTAATGGCCGTTGGCTTTCTAGGAATAAAGCAACGTGTTCAAAGTAGACCTTATAATTAGGAGAATGTGCTGTAATCAAGGGTCCACATCCAGAAAGCTGAGGGGAATAAAAGGACTATTTGATGGAGAACGAGTCCTGATTCTTTTGATTTTGCAGAGCGCTAATAATGTTGGCTCAGTTTGACTTCTCAAGGCTGGAACGTGACCAATACATTAGCAATGCTGATTGGCTTTGAGGAGAGGTTTCTGAAAAAAAAAAAATGCATAGAAGTAAATTAAAACCTTAAACAAAACTTGGTTTTCATAAGTCAGCTGTCTGGATTTGAAAACAGAATCGACCTGATCATTCTCTTTGTACTTTTGTCTGCATTTTCTTTGTTCTTTTTCTCCCTTCCTGCTTTCTCTCTCATCTCTTTATTTTACTCTTCGTTTTTGTAATATGCTTCTCTTAAAATAAGATTTTCATCTTCAAATGCTGCATTTTCAAGGAAATGTTGAATTTTTAAAATACAATAAGCTGATTTGCAATCAGTGAATGTACCCCCAGTCCACGACAGGCTTTGAATCCTGCTCACATTCCGCTGATGTGAATGGGAACATGCAGGAGCCCTCTCTTTGTAGACTTCTGGCAGTACAAGGATAAGTAACAAAATAAAGAAAGCCTCTCCATGAGCATTGTGATCTGCGAAGATGAGACAGAGACCCTGGGATCTGAGTGACTGTGAAATGCCCCTAATGAACTCTCTCTCGCTCCCGTCCCTCTGAGCTCGCTTCCAGAGCAGGGAAGCCTACACAGCAAGCCATCACGCTTGAAAGTGCGGCTAGTAGCAAGAAGAAAGACAAAAGTCTGATGCTGAAGGGAGATTCTGAATTAGTGATGAGCTGCTGCAATCCCACATGCAGAGGCTTCTTTCAATTCCCGGGGAAAGTGTTTTATTAAACACACCATACTCCTTTTCAGTGTCCTTCGTTAACTTTCTTTTTTACTAATATGGTTGCTGGAAATAAGCGGACCGAGTCTTCTATTTATCTACAGGCTATGTAAACAGCTACTGCAGCCCAGGGAGGCAAGCAGCAGGGTTATATTTGAAGAGTCTTGTTATGTTTATATAGAATCAGGCAAAACACTCATTGGCCATATTTAGGGGTTGTGGAAGCTACTTACGAAAACGTGAGCTGGAGGGAATCTGGGCCTGGAACACATGAGGTGCAAATATGATTTTATCTGTTTTATCTTCCCATTACTCTCACTTCATTATTTTTTCTCTCTCTTCCTTTCCTGGGCTTCTGATTTTATTTTGTTTCCCCTCCAGAGGTTCCTATACAAAGATAACATAATTAATTAATTGGATCAGTTCAGGATGAAAATGCTTAAGTGGACTACTTAGACTTGTGGAACAAAACAAAACAAAATAAAGCACCACCACCACCACCAGGACAATCAAACCAGGCATTTCACTGGGTTTCCCCTCTTTTGATGGTTGTGTCCATGGTACTTGGGAACAGGCTTTTTTCAAATGTAAATTTCCAACGTCAGAAAGGATTGATTTGGACCCCCCCCCTTCCTGGAGCAGCACATTCATATGGTCAGGCTCTAGCGTACAATGAGCCGCCGCCGTCTGTGCAGAGAACAGCCCCAGGATGGGGGACCAGGGGTGAGTGGCTCACTGGAGAGAATG